TGACACTAAGAAATTATTGTTTATCCCATCGTTACCTACAGTTCAATGGAGAACATGTTAAGAGACCTTAAAAACCGAGACCCCGTATCACTGTAATCGTTGGCACGATAAAGAACTCTCACTGCTATATGTCCCTGAGTTAAAAAAAAAAAAAAAAAAAAAGGCCTTCACCGGTATTTTGTGATGACTCTATATGATTGAAAAATTCTCGAATTCCCGAATGGGACGTAAAACAACATATAACCAATCAATCAAGAACGCCAATACGCATTTCTTCTAAAAATATATTTTTCTACAAAATGACCACTTCTCTATGTCCCTTAGATCTGAATATTTACTCCAAAAAGAAAGTGGAATGTCAAGAACAAATGTTGCATCATTGTTCATAATGGCTTGCAACACATCTATCAAGATTCCCTTTATTTCTTCTAATTCCTTTCCTGGATTGAAATGTATCCAGTCTTGAAAAACGTATATCTTTTCATTCTTGTTATGAGTCCACAATTCAAAATCATTTTCTTGTATAGTTTTTTCTTTAAGTTCAGCCATAGCCATCTCTTCGATCTTTCCTTTATCAGCTTTCCCACGAGAGATTATTAGTAAGATTTTCTTTGTAGATTTATTTCGAAGTTTGCTGACAAGATCTGGAAATAGATGTTTCAATACATAAAGGAAAATCTGGTGGATTTTTTTTTTTTTTCAAAACCCTTAAAAATGTCAACGTGCATGCATATTTCCGAATTATTTGTGTTTAATATCATTTTTGTCATTTTATATATCTTATATATTGCTGTCCATTTTCAATTAATAGTGTGCATGTGTACATGAACATTCAAATCCACTTGGTTGAAAACTATGAGACCATAACTTGAAATTTACTTTGTTTTTGCTCTTACATTTATTTATTTATTTATTTATTTATTTATTTTTGCAGAACCGTTAACTATATTTAAGATTTTAGAGTTAAAAGATTGCTATGTGTTAACTTTACCTATGTTGAAGTTGAACTATTTTTACAAAAATATAAGTAAATCAGAATAAAATCATTTAAGTCCTACTTTTTTTGTTTAATTAATTTATTTATTTATTTATTTATTTATTTATTTATTTATTTTTTGGACAACTTCCCTTGAAGTTAGTAAATGAAATTTGTTTATTTGTGTTATGCATGATTTATTCTTATCATACTTTAATGTCACAAACTTGCAAATCAGAATTATATTTTCGAAAACGGATAGCTCGGACTTTATATCGGTCGTCACATTTGACTGAAACATAAGTGAATTAATTCTTCTAGGAGAAAGTCATTACTCGGATCTGTTAACATTACATAAAGGTATATTGGATGCAAGATTTTGAATCCCAAATTATTTTTTTCATACTTTTATTTTTTGATAGGCATGTAGTCGAATATTTTCATGAAATGTGAAGATAAAGAACAGTGATAATTCTTAAAAGTTCATTTAAACAATACAACTTGTAACGACATCTGCATCATTATGCTGCTTATTTGCACAGTTGACTTAAATTCCTACAAGGAGATATTCAAACATATAAATTCTATTCATTCAAGTTTTAGTGACTTTATTTTTGTAATAATTACTTTTTATTCAGTTGTTTTAATTCCTTATTTATGTCAGAGAACTTTTTTTTTTCCTAATAGAGTAGGTATGATTTATATTATTATGTTATGACAAGTGTGGAAATGATACATACGAATACAGGTGCATTAGAAAAACATTTTATACTCATACAAGAAATAAGAATTGCACAAGTATAAACACAGCAATAAAAATTATATCGCGCAAGTTTTGGAGTTGACATAAGCTTAATAGTGCAATTTTTGCTTTTTTGATGTGCATTACGAAATTATTTCAACTTAATACATGCATGAGGGATCACGCTATGATTTTTGATAATTATTACACCTTCTGCAAAAGAATTTGCATGTAATTTTACAGAATGGAATAAAATTTATTGATAATTACTATAATGATAAGTAGTTTTTGCTCAATGCTATTTATTTAAATGTAGATAATTCAATAAAAACTCAAAGGAACTTTCAGAAAATTTTAAATCACAAAGTTTTACCAAAATCGAAAACATCAAAACGTACGACTTTTCAACACTTTATACAACAATTCCCCACGATAAATCAAAGACCAGGCTTTCTAACATCATACATAAGTGCTTTTCAATAAAAAAAAATGGAACTCGTGAACTTACAGGTCGTATCATTGGTCATCTGCAAACTTGTTTTGAAAAAAAAAAAAACGCACACACACACATTCCAATTCGACACACAAGTTCTCCAAAGTTGATGCATGTATTAAAAAGATGCTTGCGTTCTGATTAAACATCTCTATATAGTTTTTTAGACCAAGTCTTTTAACAGCATGTTGGAATTATCATGGCACTAGTCGCCCGCGTGGCGCAATGGTTAGAGCGTCTGCTCTAGAGTCGCGAAGTAAGGAGTTGATCCTTACGTCGCGGGTTCGAATCCCACTGTGGGACGTGGAGACCGGTCCTTCGGATGAGACCGTATAAACCGAGGTCCCGTGTCGCAGTAGGTGCTGGCACGAAAAAGACCCCTCACTGCTCAATGGCCGTAAGTGCCGAGCATAGGACAAAATTTGCAGCTCTCCACCGGCAAGTGGTGGCGTCTCCATATGAGTGAAAAATTCTCGAGAGGGACGTTAATCAACATACAAACCATGGCACTAACTGTTCCCCGTTATAAGCACATATTAGTTATAGAAAAGAAAAACTTAAAAAAGTATTTTTTTTTTTAAAGTTGACATAAAAATTAATAGATATAAAAGAAAATGCTTATTTTGTCATTTTTATCCTCTCCCGATTAAAACCAAACCATTCTCGATCAAACCCAAAATGTAAAAAAAAAAAAAAAAAAAATAACACATGTATTTTAGTTAGAGAAAAATTGACTCTGGGGGAAATTGTAAGTTATAACTATTTAGAGGAGTAAGATTCCCCCTTTGAAAATGAATCCTGTGTGGGCCAGTTTTTCGAGGGCCAGATTTTAGAGTAGAAAGCCTACTTCACAAGACTGGTTAAAACCATTATCACTAAATAGACGAAGTGATCAATATAGTTTTCATTGTATTTTGATCGTATTTCGTTTTTTTTTTTTTCTAAAATCATCTTTTTGTCCTTTAAGATCGGGAATAAAAAACACAGCTATTTGATGAAAAAAATTCTCAAATCACTACACATCGGAGATCCATACATATTGTATAGAAAATTGAAGATAATCAGAAAATACTTTTTATTATTCAACCTATTTTTGATCTGTTTGCGCAGCTGAATAATTTCTTATTATTTTTATGACCATGGAGTAGTTTGTAATTCACACAATAAAACGTCGAAGGATTTTCAATAAAACTATGATACCTTCTAGTCGTTCATCTACTTTCTTTAAATTGTCGCCATTTTCCAATGTCTTGTTTGCACCATGTGTTTCTGAATAAAAGTAAACATCATAGCATGAATCCCGGATATCGTATTTCAGAGCAAACGTTTAGATAATTTTGTTTGCATGAGATGTTTACGAATTGAACCTTATGAACGTGTAAAAACTGTCGTTCAAATCTTCCTTATTTCAATATTGCTTTAAAATTTAGAATAATAACCATTATGAGAGAATAATTACCTAATAAACCATCTGTCACATCTGTTTCACTTGTATTCATCATGGGTATGTTTTCTTCAACTTTTGAGTAAGAGAGCGTACGATTAGGTCCAAAATTAAATATCATAAAGTAAAACAGTGAAAACAACTGAAAAAAACAAAGGTGCTGTCAGGACAAAACAATAGGTCTCAGTAAGATATCGGACATTATTATCACAGTGCTGGTAAAAACCCGGTAATTCAAAGGTACAATTTCGCAGAAATTAAATCTTGAACGTGTACATGTGAATATTGTAAATTATAACTTGCAAACAAACAAAATGAGGTCATCTTTATACAAATGAATTTTTTTCAGGACAGCTAAAACATTTAGCCTGTTGATTAATGATAGATATGAGCACCAAATGTGAATTAAGGAGGGATTCTTCTCATATTTCTAGTATTCAAAAATTAATGAAATTTTCATAGATTCAAGAAGACATTATCATTAAGTGATGGTATCAACTCGATTAAATTTGACCGTTTTATTTTAAAAGCAAGGTCAGGTCAAGGCCATTATCTTTTTCCTTGACCCAAAGAATAAAAAAATTGCTGTTGCCAATCACGCGATGCCTACTATCAGATGATACTATACTAAATGGACATAAATAATTTGACTAAAATAGATATCGACTAATCCTAAATTCCTCTATTTTTCTTAGATTTTTAGGATATATTTGTCATTTTTATATGCTTCGTATATTTCATTTTTCTTATTTTCATATATGGTAAAGTAGTCTTATAAAGGTATAAATTGATATAAAAACAAAAAGTTTACCGTTTACTAAGAGAGAAAAAACACTTTTTACGGATTTTTTGCTCAAATCTGTACATAGATTGGAAGCTTTTAAAAGTTAACAAAATTGTAGTTTGTTTGGGAAATCATTTTGATTTGATATATTTTAAAGCTTCAGTCCATTCTTATTAATTTTACTCACATTTGAAATTTTATTTAAGTATTTGATTGTTTAAAAATTTTAACTAAATTCATTTTTCTATAGGAATTTTGAGAAGCAGAAAAGGAGATATTTTCATACGCCGCCATTCCGCCAAAAATATAGTCCCTGCTAGATTTTTAAACTCAGTTTACCATTTTTGTTTAAAGTTGTACAATTATGTTGAGCAAAGAAATATACGATCTTTTAAATCCCTTACATCTAAATATATAAGACATATAAGCAAATATACTTTGAGTATTTCATCTAGTTAGAAACCACACAAGATTCCCTCCTTAAAATGTATATCAAACACATGAATATAAATTGATGCTCAATCCACTGTGAAAGAAAAATTACCGAATAATTCATCATGAATAAATCTGGAGTATACTGCTTCTGTGTCTGTAGTACTTAGCTCTTCGTGGTTTGGTTCTGAAACAATAAGAGAAACACTGCACGCATATTGCTATATAACAACGTTTTAAAAGGAACACGGAACAATTTTTTTCAGTTTTAGAAAAAAACATTTTAATGTAAGTGTAAAATCAGCAAATTCTTATGTTAAAACGACATCCTATAAAAAGTTTTATTAGTCCCCTACCGGTGAAAGCGGAGGGGACTATAGGTTTCCTCTGAGTCTGTCCGTCCATCTGTCTGTCTGTCTGTCTGTCCCTCTGTCCCACTTGGTTTTCCGCATTTTTTTCCAAAACGCTTGCAGATATTGAGCTGATTTTTGGTATGCGAGTGTATCTTGATTAGTTCCAAGCCAAATTTTTATTTCGTTCCGCCTCATTGATTTTTGACGGAATTACGGCCTTTTCAATTTTTAGGGGTTTTCAGCAATTTTCTTCTAAACGCTTTCAGATATTGAGCTGATTTTTGGTATGTGACTTTACCTTCATTAGTTATAGATTAAGTTTACATTTCATTCCGCTTCATTGATTTTTGACGGAATTATGGAATTTTCAATTCTTCACGGGAACCAGATAACACTTGCCGGTAGGGGATTAGTATTGCTAATGCAATACTCTCAGAATGCTTGTTAAAATAGTGCAAGGCTCAAAGAGCTTTATAATATTAACTTAGAAGGTAAACAAATTCTCCAGTCAATTGGGGGACATTTTTAAACTTACTTCTACAGATAAACATTCCTAGAAATAGTAAAGCAAGCACGAACGATATATATTTGAACCTATCAGCTGAAAACAAGTTGCTGTTGTTCAGTCCTCTTGTCTTTTTCTTCAATATAGCGTAATATAGAAAAATATATGTGGAGGTTTGAGATGGTTAATATGGTTTAATGCTGACCAAAAATGTTAACATTGTCCAAGCTTATTTTCGATTTCGATTTTTTTTATTTTCCTCCCAATTACTTTTTCCTTTGAAGAAGACCTAACATTTAATGATTAGGGACGTCCATCCTTGATATGTCTTTAACTTACATGTAATTACCCAAGAAGCTTGAAATATAGATTATTATCACCTATGTCTTCGAAAACATTACGTTTTTACCTAACAGTTCATTAGTCTCTGTTTCCTCAATATGTTCGTTGTTTCTTGCTCGGTAATTTGTAAGACCAGACTCAGTGTAGAGGTTTGGCTCTGAAACCATGAAATAAGAAAGACATAGAGATTATAACCACTAATGAAATAAGTATATGTAGCAAAAATTATCTCAGATATAACATATCATAACAAGAGGCCCATGGGCCACATCGCTCACCTGAGCACATTGGCTAGGCAAAAGCACAATCAGTTCAGTATTGAAAAGACTGGGGGGGGGGGGGGCTTGATGAATTTTAAACTACCTGATGATGCTTCCATGTCAATATAACAAATGGCTTTGTTGTACTTGAGAAGATTTTTTTAAAAAAATTCCCACATATTCCTTTGTAAAAATTTGATCCCTCATTGTGGCTCCTCCCTATCCCAGGGGTCATCATTTGAACAAACTTGAATCTACACTACCTGAGGATGCTTCCATATCAATATGACTAAACATAGCTTTTCTGTTCTTGAGAAGAAATATTTTTTCTATATGTTCTTATGTAAAACTTTCCATCCCCCATTGGGCCCCATCCTACCCCTGGGGGTCATCATTTGAACAAAATTGAATCTACACTACCTGAGGATGCTTCCATATCAATATGACTAAACATAGCTTTTCTTTTCTTCAGAAGAAGATATTTTCCTTTATATTTCTATGTAAAACTTTGATCCTCCATTGTGGCTCCGCCCTACCCCCGGGGGTCATGGTTTGAACAAAGTTGAATCTACACTACCTGAGGATGCTTCCATATCAATATGACTAAACATAGCTTTTCTGTTCTTGAGAAGAAATATTTTTTCTATATGTTCTTAGGTAAAACTTTCCTTCCCCCATTGGGCCCCATCCTACCCCTGGGGGTCATCATTTGAACAAAATTGAATCTACACTACCTGAGGATGCTTCCATATCAAAATGACTAATCATGGTTTGCTGTTCTTCAGAAGAAGATATTTTCCTTTATATTTCTATGTAAAACTTTGATCCTCCATTGTGGCCCCTCCCTACCCCCGGGGGTCATGATTTGAACAAATTTGAATCTACACTACCTGAGGATGCTTCCATATAAATATGACTCATCATGGCTTTGCTGTTCTTGAGAAGAAGATTTTTAAAGATTTTTCCTATATATTTCTTTGTAAAACTTTGATCTTCCATTGCCGCCCCGCCCTACCCCTGGGGGTCATGATTTGAACAAACTTGAATCTACACTACCTGAGGATGCTTCCATATCAATATGACTAAACATAGCTTTTCTGTTCTTGAGAAGAAATATTTTTTCTATATGTTCTTATGTAAAACTTTCCATCCCCCATTGGGCCCCATCCTAGCCCTGGGGGTCATCATTTGAACAAAATTGAATCTACACTACCTGAGGATGCTTCCATATCAATATGACTAAACATAGCTTTTCTTTTCTTCAGAAGAAGATATTTTTCTTTATATTTCTATGTAAAACTTTGATCCTCCATTGTGGCTCCGCCCTACCCCCGGGGGTCATGGTTTGAACAAAGTTGAATCTACACTACCTGAGGATGCTTCCATATCAATATGACTAAACATAGCTTTTCTGTTCTTGAGAAGAAATATTTTTTCTATATGTTCTTAGGTAAAACTTTCCTTCCCCCATTGGGCCCCATCCTACCCCTGGGGGTCATCATTTGAACAAAATTGAATCTACACTACCTGAGGATGCTTCCATATCAAAATGACTAATCATGGTTTGCTGTTCTTCAGAAGAAGATATTTTCCTTTATATTTCTATGTAAAACTTTGATCCTCCATTGTGGCCCCTCCCTACCCCCGGGGGTCATGATTTGAACAAATTTGAATCTACACTACCTGAGGATGCTTCCATATAAATATGACTCATCATGGCTTTGCTGTTCTTGAGAAGAAGATTTTTAAAGATTTTTCCTATATATTTCTATTTAAAACTTTGATCGTCCATTGCAGCCCCGCCCTACCCCCGGGGGTCATGATTTGAACAAACTTGAATGTACACTACCTAAGGATGCTTCCACATGAGTTTCATCTTTCCTGGCCCTATGGTTCTTGAGAAGAAGATTTTTAAATGATGCCATTATTTTTTCAGTAATTCCTAATTATCTCCCCTTGAAAGAGGGCGTGACCCTTCATTTGAACAAACTTGAATCCCCTTTACCCAAGGATACTTTGTGGCAAGTTTGGTTGAAATTGGCCCAGTGGTTCTTGAGAAGAAGTCGAAAATGTGAAAAGTTTACAGACAGACAGACGGACAGACGGACAGACAGACGGACGCCGGACAAAATGTGATCAGAAAAGCTCACTTGAGCTTTCAGCTCAGGTGAGCTAAAAATCAGTTCAACAATCCGTAATTCTTGTTATATTATGTATTAATCAATCGTGTTATCTTCATATTCTCCCTTTTCACCTTATAACGTTAATAATTAAAAGTATAATCATATAAAATAGCATAAAATTGGTCATGAGGTTAACTCACTGTATAACGTTAATTGAGATGGAAAAAATATTTCTTGCCTATCGGAAGATTTTTTTTAATAAATATTCTAATGGGAAGTAATGCCAAATTAAATACAATAAAACAAGTACCGTATAGCGGGTTTCTTTAGTGGGTGTAAAATTTGGAGTGTTGCTTGCTCAGTATACCAATTATTTTGGCGGAACTTTTTGGCGGACACGTGACATTGCAGAAAAAGGAAGTTCATATTCCAGACTAGTTTTCAGTACATTTGTATGATTGAATACTGATTTATGCAAGAGTTTAAGTGAAAACAAAAGATATATACCAGTAAAATATTTAACAATTGATTGATCAAAGTTAGCATCTTTACTTTGCAGGGTTGTAAATTTAGCGATTAAAATTTAAGCGTACATGTACTACTACCAAATTGCTAAAATAAGCACCCCGCTGAAAATCCCGCTTTACGGTATTCCTTTTAAAGTAAGTAATCGGGAAGTGTATTATTGTGCCTACGTAAATGCATAGAATGTACAGAACAGGCAATTACTTTATAAACGGCTACAAATTTACGATTTAGATTTAATCGAAACCCAATGAACGAATAAACTCTTATTCTAAAAGGAAAGGGTGTACTTACGTTTAAATTATTAATGCATTTCTTGCCATATAACTGTATAATTGTTTACATCTTAAAATGAATGCATTTTTAAAAAAAAAAGCTCCTCAGTACTTCAGGTTATTTCCACACGCATACTTTTATGGGTTCAAAATGGAAAAATGCATAAATTTCCCCTAAATATTGTTTAAAATAATTAATTAGAACTAACCTTTCACCACCCTTTCAAAGATGTCAATAAAGATAGACAAAAATTTCTGCCACAATAAAAAATATCTCTCATTTTTGGTTAACAGCATCACCCAAATCACTAATGACATAATAATAATGATAAATGTTCCAATTATTGTAAATGTAAAAATATGTATAAATTATGGATATCAAGGAAACCATTTCACAACTAAAGTATAATAAAGAAAATGCATGACTGAAGACACATTGGAAAGAGTTATTACCTTTGCACATTTTTATTGAGAATAAAAATAATTAAATATAGTAAATATTATTCTTTAAATTCTTTTATTGAATAATATTTTTAATTACACCTATTTAAAATCATTTTTCCAAAAGATGCAGTTCTATTGTTCTATTGAAGTTAAAAAATGAACGATTTTGCAAGAACCTATAATATCCCACGAGAGTAGAATTACCATAACATGTTAAATTTATCGTAGATTTACATAAAGCTGTCAGTGCATAGTAAGCAAATTAGTCCATTGCGTCATGTTACATTTTCCGGACGCCTCACATGGAATCAGTTGTGATCGGCCGAAGCCACTTACAAAAACATACGTACATTTCGAACTTATCTGCAACAGATTTTGGTGGAAAAAAAGTTTTGCTGCTGCATGGTTTGTCTTTATTTGTTGTAAATTTAAATTTAATGTGGGATTATTTATAGACCTTTGAGCTTAAAGTGTTTATATTTAACGAGGTCATTTTTGATTCTGAAGATTTCTGTTAAGGACAGATGATACAAACTTTTTTTTTGGCAAAAAATATGAAAATAACAACAAAAGCCATATTTATATAAGTAAAATGAATAAGTTTAGCCACATGAATTTTAATTTTTGATTCAATAAAGTTTCACAAGGATGCCAACAGAAAAGTAGAATTTTGAAGATTATAGAGGGTTTAAGTTGTTTGTTTTTTTTTATTATTTAAGAAATTTGATAATTGCATCATTACAAACAAAAAATGTCCAAAATATATATCCATTCAGGCATTTATCTTATTTGCATCATCTGCCTTAAATTACATATTTATGAAAATGCTTTCAATCCCAGTTTGAAAGTATTTTTCATCCAAATTTCTTATTTCTTTACATAACAGATAACATATGATGATTGGAACGTCCCATCTTTGATGTCTTTAGTTTCTTTGGAGACAAATGACTTTGAAAACATTCTATTTTACCTAACATTTCATTAGTCTCTGTCTCCTCAATATGTTCTGTGTTTCCAGCTCGGTCATTTGTAAGACCAGAATCAGCGAGGAAGTTTGGCTCTAGACCCATGAAATAAAAGAGACATGATTATTCAAGAAATAAACAACGTTTTTTTTTTTTCAGTGAATATGGCCTTATGAATAGCAAGTGCTCTGCGGACATCTGATGCGCACTAGTATGTTCATTGAATCTGGTTATTACTTATATTTACATTCCGAGATGTTAAGAATGACAGAGGAAAGGCTCACTGTAATTTGTTACACGGCTGCTTGTTATAATTGAAAAAAATACAACTGATGGAAATAAATCAGCAGATTACTTTACCAATACATTTTAACTCTGTATGATCCACATATAATATTCAAAATATTTCTAAACACCAATTTGAAAAAAACAACTGTTTACATTTCTTATTATAATATTATTATTATTATTATATATATATATATATATATATATATATATATATATATATATATATATATATATATATATATATATATATATATATATATATATATATATATATATATATATTGAACAGCATTCTCCATGCGAGAGTTTGACACAGCCTGTGCATATGCTAATATTGCGTTTAAGGAGGTATAAGTGCTGTAAGCACTGAGCTCAAAAAAAATGATACCCTCGTCTCCCATATGTTTATAAAAGAAAAGTGCATGTTTTTCTCTGGTAGATCCAAAAAAGTGTTCTATCAAAAAAGTGTTCTATGTTGTGAAATTTGAAACCCGAAATATGTGTCAGATCAAAAAGTAAAATATGAGATTCACAATCTCCCTTTGTAAAGATTCTGTGAAAGCAACATTAAATTATATTAAGTGGTATAGGATTAGTTGCGGATAAGAAATGGGTCCCCTAAATATTTTTGAAAAATGTCAGTGTCTATATTTTGCTATTGGAAACCCGAAATATGTGTCCGATCAAAATGTAAAATAGCAGGTTCACAATGGCACTATAAAACAAAAATTTTGTGAAAATAGCATTAAACATTCAGTGGTATAAGAGGAGTTGCGGATAAGAGGATTGATGTGTACCACAAAACGTAACGGAAGGACGGACGTACAGCTAGACGGACGGACACCCCCATCACTACAGCCCCCCCCCCCCCGATTTTCAAGCGGTTGGTATAATAACAGAATATATGCAAATATAATTGCTTATGAAATATGAAAATATAGCTAAAATAATCGCAGGTACGATAAATCATAAAAATCAGTTAAACAATCTATAACTATTGTATTATTAAATGTTTATCAAGACTTAGTGTTTACTGCTCTTACTTTTTCTGAATTATTTGCATTAAAATTAAAAGTTATTACCCCTATTTGATCTTCTCCCCCTCTTCCACCATGTAAATACAGCAGATAATATAAAGATAAGTACAACAGCACATACAGCCACTAGAATGAAAACTGTTGTGTTGTCACTTTCATTATCTTTGCTTGTCTCCGTGTCTTTCTTTAGGATTTCAAATCCACTTGTGTCATAATAGGTAGAGGTACTGTAGATGTAAGAAAAATAACTTGGAAACGAAATTTTGTAAATTTAATTCAATAATTCATCTCATAGCCCGCCTTTTTCCCCAATATAAGCTTTTACTGTTATTTTGAAAATATATATTTAAATCCCAGTTGCCTCCTCCCATCCCCATTTTTGTCGCTTTATGTCAAATTCTCCCACGTTAACGTATTTTAAATATTTCTTGTTGAAAAAGTTGAAACCTACCCCCCCCCCCCCCACACAACTCAGCCCTTTCCACGAAATAGGATTTCCTTGTTTGTCAAAGATTCTTCAGGTCAATTGCCATAGTTGCCTCCATTTAAAATCGATGTTATGTGCCTGTTTTTTTTTTTCTTCAAAATCATTAAGCAGTTAAACTCACATTGCTGGTTGAGACGCTGTTGATGTAGCATCACTAGTACTAAAACATCCAGGATCTGTAGCATTAATTAATTTCAATAATTAAAATCGACAGTAAATGGTATGTATTATCGCATATTCATACATGCATCCATTTTCTAGTGAAAGAAAGTAACTTTTAATTAAATAATTTTACTAAACCGGATATGTAAGCAATTTTTCTTGTTGAAAGAATTTGATTACATGTATTTCAAGATAATGAGAAGATTAAGTTATAGTTACACTATAGATATTAATTGGTTAGCTGTAAATACACTCACAGTTTTTCATTCACGAGGGGCGGAGCCCCGAGTGAATAAAAACTGTGAGTGTATTTACAGCTAACCAATTAATATCTATTGTGTAAGTTACTTGTACCAGAGGACCAATGAGAGAAAAGCGAGTTGATAATTAGCACCGCCTACTACGAGGTGTCAAGCCACGGTCCGGAGTCTGTATAAATAGCTGTCTCCATCTGCAAGGATCATACTTTACTGCGGCACTGCTAGTACAAGTTGTTGATAAAAAAAATCGGTATTGGTACGTGTGAAGATATTGTACCTTTGAAATGTTGAAGACGCAGAAAACATGATTTTTGTCAGGTACAGGTATAGGGGTAGCGATTGTAGGCTTTTATGTTCAAGCCGTCAACTCTGAAAGAAAAGTTATCTTTCTAGATCGTTTTTTTTAAAGGGGGGATGGATATGGGAAACATCGGCATTGAACTTTTTCTTTATGGCAATCGGCGTACAGAAAAAAATGAAATGATTTGTGACATTTGAATGAAAGTTTGAAATGGTATTGGAAGTAAAAAAAAAATGCGGGGACTTCTGATGTGAAATTGCTGTATGTTTTTGGAGACGGGAAAGAAAATGACGAGAATTCGAGATATGACGTATCATTTACTGATTAAGGATACGCGGAGAAAACATACAGAACCATTTATAAAGCGGACACCGACAAGCTAAATAATGTTAGTATTTTTGAAATTTAAAATGTTGACTTAATTCATTCATCAGCCATTGCCTTGGTCTTGAAATTGACATCATTCATTCATTAGTCAAGGTCTTGACACAGTATGGCTTGATGCCAAAAGGTGGGCGTGACTTAAAAAAAACTGTGATTCTTCTGGCAAATACACCACAGCAACATGAAAGCAAAATCTAAATTTACCGCCAGTCCTATGGTACAATTATGATTATTGTTTTGGTTTTAAGGATACACACTGTGCACTCAATCAAATAAACCAGTAATTTACGTAAAGAACGTTTAATAAAATCTTCTTTTTCTAATTTTTTTTAAAGAATTACATAGAATTAGACTCTCTATTGGAATTCCTGGAAGCACATACAATAACTTCCGTATTACGGAAGCCCTGAAGGGACAAGTCGATTTCGCAAAAAAGTGAAAACTAATTTGAGATCTCGAATTACACAATCCGTTCCCACAGATTGTCAATTCGTTCCCTCGATTTATAATTCGAGATCTCGAATTACATAATTTGTACCCACGGATTACCTATTTGTTCTCTCGATTTATAATTCGAGATCTCGAATTAAATGATTCGTTTTCACAGATTACTAATTCGAGATCTCGAAATACACAATCTGTTCCCACAGAATACCAATTCGTTCTCTCAATTTGTAATTCGAGATCTCGAATTACACAATCCGTTCCAACTGATTTTCACTTTGGTCTACTGATTTAGACAATCCGTTTTCTCGGATTTCAATTACAATTTTGACTTTCACTCTCATTAAGCCAAGAACTCCTCATGTTTAAGTTATTAATTAAACAAATATTTGTCAAATAATATGCCCACGAAATGACTGGAGAAATTCAAATAATTCCTTATGGCAGGGTATTCCATGTAACTAAGTTCTTAATCAGTGATATACAATGTAATGTTGTTTTGATCTAGAGAGCGGCATGAGAACTTTGCTTATAAAAGAAATTGATACGTACATACGTATACGCATTTGACCAGAACGTTGCTGTTGGGCAGTTGTTCTGGTGAGATTTACAATCATATACATCTATTCTCTGGGCTTTGGAATTATATTCAGGACACATTCCTAAAAGTTTGAGAGAAAAAAGTCGAAAGAATAATTGACTGTCTTTCATGTTATTGAATATTTTATTACAGTGGAGGCGAATGCCATCCTGATTTTGATGAAAATGCACTGTTTGATATGTGATTTATTATCCAAAAGAGAGATTTAAAAAATTTAGGTTTAAAATAAAGTTTGAAATAACAAATGTTATATTTTACTTGCTCTTATCATTTCTGTCATATAAAAACAAAGGAAATTTCAAAAATGACGTTATTGTTCTTATAAATCGTGAAATACAGGATTTTCAATCTTTCTGCAATATTGACTTCTTTACAAGACATATTATTTATTGGCTAACCATTTTGAATCCAGACTCTTTCGAGACACTGTTGTGCAATGTTCCCACTTTCGTCTCTCAAACAGTGGTAGTACTTTGGTTTCTTGCATTGTAAGGCCATGGATGATGTGTTCCAGTCAGCTATGGTCATTGGACATTTCATTACAGCCTGAGTCACCATGTATTGCAACACTGCGAATCTTATGATAATGTCCATTTTCTCGGGATTATGTGAAACAGATAAAAAAAAAACCAACTAATTGCCTAAGTAAAAATATGAGTTCATTATATTCTAATCAAATCGCTGGATAAAGGTAGTATCAATGTTTTCTAATATTTCATGCATGCAACAAAGTACGGAAGCCGGTAGGTGCCAGGTAGAAAAATATTTTATCTGGCGGCCGCCAGAAACTTATCTGGCAGCCTGCAAATAATTTTCTGGCGGCCGCCAGATAAAAAGATCTGGCGGCCGAACTTATCTGACGGCCGCCATAAAATTATCTGGCGGCCGCCATAAAATTATTTGGCGGCCGCCAAAAAATTATATGGCGGACGCCAAATATATTTTTTCTCCCGGGCACCAACAGCTTCCGTAACAAAGTGCATATCTGATTCAGAACTAATGGGTACGTATTGTTTAAGGAAACCGGTATCAATCAAATTAGATTTGACTGATAAGTATAAGGTTGATTTCC